AACCCCAAAACCCCAAAACCCCTTGGCTATTTATATTATCGAAAGGAAAATTCAATTTTAAGTAATTAATATTCAAAGTTAAAATTCATCATATATAACTTTCTCAATATATTCCTCCATATCTTTGCTGACTTCCTTGATAGCTTGAGCGTATATCTCGTGAAAGATGTCATCTGAGATGTGATCATATATCTTCCAAACATCTTTATTGGCAGTGTTGTTATGCATCTTTAGAAACTTTTCAAATTTCTCCCTCTGCAAAATTATATTATTTATCGTCTCTTCCTTCATCTCTATTTTGTACTTTCTTTAGATAGGTATATTTGGATCAGAAATGCCTTGGATTGTGATGCCGTTAAGATTACTATCAATATGCTGAGCTCGTTTGTTCTTATCTTCAATTTTAGTCATCATATTATAGGATACATCAGGTGCAGTACCAGATAACTCAGCAATCTTTTTAGAGAAAGCATCAACAGGACCAGCTTTATGAGAAGCGGTTTTTTAGTTAAATGGGTTCTAGTACTGATACTTAGCAGATTAGTTATTCTGCTGTAATTAGAACTCATTCGATTCATCGTGATCAAAATGATGATTTAAGTCTTCGTTTAGATTGAACATTAGTGGCTAAGGGTCTTATCGTTGAAGTTTGCTTAGGTTGTATGCTTTGTGTAGAGATTTCTCACCTTTAGGATCTACTAATTTTAGTTTAGCTAGCTGCTCATCATTTTGATAATCAACCAAAGTTTTCAGTAAGTTTTACGCTAAAAATTTGGCTTCTTCATTACTATAATCTTTGAGTTAGCTTTGCTCGAGCCTTTGAAGTTCTAAAGCTGTTTCTAAGAGAAAGTCTTCTAGCAGTAATTCAGTGATGTCATCTGCATAGAAATTGATCATTCTTCCTCCCATTTTAGATAGCATACCCAGAGAACCAGGAAGTTGCTTATGCTTGGCTGAGCCTCCAGCTATTTTGATATTATTAGCAGCCGCCTCCACTCTTTTTAGAAGTGGTTCTACTTTTCTATTCAGGAGTGCCACTTCATTTTGTAATTCATTAAGGTGTTGATTCGGATGATCCTGTAATTTCTTGATGATTTATGTTTGAATGATCTCATCGTCTCTCATCTTAAAGGCTCTTTCCACTTCTTACTGTTTTAGCTATTCAAGGTAATTATTATTAGACTAATTTGTCTTCTTTGACTGCTTTGATTCAGTCACAACTTTAGGGATTGAAGACTTTACTCTATCAGGTCTATAAGACATCTCGCTTTACTTTGAAGATTTCTTAGCCCTGTTTGAACTTTAAATACTCCTAGCTGATTAACTAGTCTTCCCAGCTGGCTTTTCCTTTGTAGGTATCATATCCAATTCACTTTCATTGCCTTCTCTATTGGATTACTTTGAGAATGATTCTATTTTTTACTTCTTTTCTAGCTAATTACTAGCGTTTCTAATTTTCTCAATAGCATCTCTTTCATCTTCAAAATCTTTCAATTACTTCTTGAAAGCAGAACTGATTTCTTCCCTTCTTTATTTCTCATTATTCAGCTCATCTTCCAGAGCTTTAATCATTTATTCTTTTGACTGTAAGGTCTGTGCTATCAGTTGCTACATTTTGATGTCGACATCACCAGCTTATGCTATGAAATCTGTACCAGGAAATTGGTATCCAAGTTATTAAGATCTTGCATTTAAGAGCTAAGTAGAGGTATTCTTTGAATCAAATTCTTCTTCACTTTAAGCAATCATAATTTTTCCAGTCTTTCCCTAACTTATTTGATTCTGGGACACTGTTGAGACTAACCTCTTTTTGGGAGGGGAGACTTATTTCATGACATTCTTAATTGAATAGCCTGTTGCAGCATAATTCATCTGCTTATTGTCTACTAAATGGTCAATATCTTTGTAAATCTCAAATTTTGAGCCAACTTGTCCATTTTTCTTTAAGAATCCAATTTCAAGTTTACCCTCATCATACTTTTTATCCACAACAATAGAAGTTTGATTTACAGAGAGTTGTTTTTTCTAGATTCGCTCGTTTTACTCTTTTTCTTGCTACCTCTTAGCTTTGGGGTCTATGTTGATATCAAAGTATTTATCAGGCCTCGTATCTTAATTCCAATCAGATGCTGAAGGTAGTGGCTTTGCTTTTTTCTATGCTGATTGAGGTCTTTTTTTCATATAAGGAGGAACAAAGGAATTATTTTATTTTGACTTTTTACCTTTTTTGCCTTTTGATTTTGGCTATGGTAGTCCTGGTTTCATATTGTTTTTGAATTCTATAGGTATTGGCTCCTCTGCTTTGAATAAATGAGGTTAGTCAATCTTGAAAGCCAATTGATCTGCAAACTTAACTTTCTTATCATAGTTCATTTGAAGCGCAGCATTTGATACTAGATTATGTAACTCTGTTGACTAGTTTTGATTCAAATATTAATTCTCTTTTTGGTAATGACTTGATGAATCTTCATCCCTATATTTAAAACTATATTGCAACTGGAAACTTACGAGTTTTCGTTTGCAGATTGATTATGATGGGCTTCATTGTAATCACTGTAGAACATGAAATCATGGTTTTGATTGGACTTGAATCCAAGTTAGCAAGTTTCTTCATAGATCATTTTGAATTATATAATTTAACAATATAATAATTATGAGCGAGGATTATAGCTTATTTAAGTTAAAGTCCAAGAAATTTATTAAATAAAGTTAAATATCATCTTTCCATCTCTGATTCTCTGCATTTCATTATCAAACTCATGAGCTAGTCAGTACTTTCAATAACTTTGCAATGAGAATCAGATGGCCATTCTTGATAACCTCAAAAATGTAATCCTAGAACTGATTATCTGACTCCTTTTGATTGATTCAATACTGGGTTAAGATATACTTGGTTTCTTAAGCAGAGAGCAAAGAACTTGAAATTATCGTGCTCAGTATCATATGGCTTGTCTAGAGGGTACTCGAAGTCAGTTGAACATTACTTCATAGCTTTTCTCAATTCGCTTTGTTTGTGTTCTGTGAAATCATCATGAGTTTAAGCGAGTTATTTCAAATCTTGTCCAAGGAATGCAATTACTGATTCTGCCATTATCAATGTAAAATTAATCTAAATTATTAATTATTTCCCTTCAATAATATTTCAATGAGCTCCTTGGGGTTTTGGGGTTTTGGGGTTTTGGGGTTTTGGGG